AAAAAACACTTCTTTCTCCACATCACAAATTATACGAGTAAGAAATTCGTCTCCAATTCCATTTGGCAAATCAATCTTCACATGCTCTATTGTAGAAAAACATCTCACATGTTTTATTGTACAAAAACATTTGACAAGTGTGGGGGTAGTTACTTGTAAAACCAATATTGGTGAATCTTTTCCATTTTCCTATGTACATGCCATTACACTATTTGAGTCTTTTTAAACAACAATTTCACATAAAAAGTCTCCAACAATAGTTGGTTAACAGAATCACATGATATATCTAACCTAATTTTTTGTACCAAAAGTGTAAAAAAATCAATTCAATTTTTTTTAAAGAGAATGATAAACTGAAGTCCAATTCTAAAGTCCCGAAGACTATATTCTCTGGAGTCTGCTTCAAAAGCGTGAATTAAATATAACTTTCTACTGAGAGACTGAAATTTTAGAAACAATGAAAATTAAAGTAAAATTTACCTAAGCAATTGAAAAGACAAATGGAAAGTTCAATCTCTTTAGAATATCTAGCAGAAAACAAATTAAAAGTCAATGAAAAGTTATGTTGAATAAATTAACCCTGGAAAATAAAAATTAACATGGCAGAGATTGAGAATGTTGAACGAGAAGAATTAATGAGTTAAGGAAGAGTTTTTTCTTAATTGGGCTGGGCAAAGATTTGGTTGGACTCTACTGCTAGGATGGGGGCAATCGTTAACATTGACCAATTGATTGGGAGCACTTCTTATACGGAGCACTACGTTAAAGAAAATCTTACTCGGGTATGGACCATGCTAGGGTGCCACCACATGGGTGCTACCATGGGTACACCCATTCTTCGCACAGACAAACACAGACGATAATTGTCTGTGCGACACAGATAATTATCGTCTGTGTTTGTCTGTGCGAAGCATGAGTGCACCCATGGTAGCACCCATGTGGTGGCACCCTAGCATTTTTCACTCGGGTATATTGCAGCAATACAACTTTCACTGGGGGCAACTGCCCCCCTCAATATTCAAGTAGATCCGCTAGTGGGTTCAGCATTTTCGCATGTAGTACATGCAAAAACATCAATATCACCTGACACCCACTAGTCCTTACGTACAATTTTTTTTTAATTATTTCGCATGTAGCACATGCAAAAATATGACCATCACTTTTTTTATTAAATAATTTCTCTCCCAAATGCATATGGGTTGTTTCCCTCAGACGGAAAAAAGAAAAAAAAACTAATTCCTAAACTGGAACATGAAATTCCTCAGAAGGAAATTCACACATAGTACATGTGAATTCAATTTTTTTACACAATTGTCAAATCTTCAGTAAAATTTGCAAAGAAATCACACGTAGTACATGCGGATTTATTTTTTAATAGTTTTGCATGTAGTAGATGCGAAAATAATGCTCACTTTAACTCCACCTTTTCCAGTTTTCAATAAATCTACTTTAACCACCTACACTTTTCACCTTTTTCCACTCTCACTACACGTTTCAATCATTTTCTTCCCAACCATCCAACTTCATCTTCTTAATTATCACTCATATTTTTTTATTTAAACCACCCCTTCACCCACTACTTTACTCACTCTTCAAATTTAATCTATTCTCACACTACATAACATTCAATATTTCTCAGGTATTTTTTTTATTACTTATATTTCACTTAACTTTTAAATATTAATAATATTGATTATAGATGTTATATTTTAATTAGTTTTTGTTTTCATTTGATTTATTAAGATTGTGTTTATATATTCTCAACTTTGTGCTCCATAATTTTTTTTAAATTTTTATAAAAAATTATGAAAATATTTTTTTCGAAATTATGTTTTTTAATGAATATATTTTTTAAAGATAGTGTTAACATGAATATATTTTTTTTGAAATTATGAAGATGTTTTTTAATGAATTTTGTATGCACTAAAAATTAAGAATAAAAAAATTTAATTTTTATTATTTTATTTTTGTAGTGCAAAAATGTATGACATGGAAAGAGAAAGAGAGATGGAGAGAGAGATAGCGGGCCTCAGAATAGATGACATGTTACCTTTGCAGAATACTCATCATTCTAGTCGGGTATGGAAACATAAGAAGTTTTGCGACAATAAACTAGTTTCAGTTAGATATCATAGTCGCATCTCTACTGTTTTTCATGACCCCAAGGTTCTCTAAAATTTACGGAGGGCTGGATTTTATGAGGTACATCGTGTCCACCCTATTAGATTTTATCATGGTTTAATCACCGCTCTCATTAAAGCATGCACCTCCGGTCTCCATCGCTCAATGAGAGCGGTGATTAAACCATGGTCAAATCTAATAGGGTGCACACAGTGTACCTCATAAAATTCAGCCCTCCGTAAATTTTAGAGAACCTTGGGTCATGAAAAACAGTAGGGATGCGACTATGATATCTAACTGAAACTAGTTTATTGTCGCAAAACTCTTTATGTTTCCATACCCGACTAGAACGATGAGTATTTTGCAAAGGTAACATGTCATCTATTCTAAGGTCTGTTATCTCTCTCTTTCTCCTTCCATGTCATATGTTTTTGCACTACAAAAATAAAATAATAAAAATTAAATTTTTTATTCTTAATTTTTAGTACATACAAAATTCATTAAAAAACTTCTTCATAATTTCAAAAAATATATATTCATGTAAACACTATCTTTAAAAAAAATATTCATTAAAAAACATAATTTTGAAAAAAATATTTTCATAAATTTTTATAAAAAATTAAAAATATTATGGAGCACAAAGTTGAGAATATATAAACACAATCTTAATAAATCAAATGAAAATGAAAACTAATAAAAAATAACATCTATAATCAATATTATTAATATTTAAAAGCTAAGTTAAATATAAGTAATAAAAAAATACTTGAAAAATGTTGAATGTTATGGAGTAGTGTGAGAATAGATTAAATTTGAAGAGTGAATGAAGTGGTGGGTGAAGGGATGGTTTAAATAAAAAAATGAGTAATAATTAAGAAGATGAAGGGGTGGGTGAAGTTGGATGGTTGGGAAGGAGGTGGTTGAAACGTGTGGTAGGAGTGAAAAAGGTAGAAAGTGGAAAAAGTGGTTAAAGTAGATTTATTGGAAGATGGAAAAGGTGACTTAAAGTGAACATTATTTTCGCATGTACTACATGCAAAACTATTAAAAAATAAATTCGCATGTACTACACGTGATTTCTGTGCAAACTCTATTGAAGATTTGACAGTTCTGTAATTTGTTTTTAGAATTCGCATGTATTATGTGCAAATTTCCTTTTGAGGAATTTCATGTTCCAGTTTAGGAATTAATTTTTTCTTTTCTTCGGTCTGAGGGAAGCGACCTTACTACATGTTATGTACTGCATTTTGTACTTGAAAAGTTGTACACCGGAGTATATATATTTTTAATATGAGTTTTATGACAATATGTAAGACGTATTAATCAAATTTTATTTTCATTAATCCAAATGTATCATATCATATTGTAATGTGGGCAATTCATAACAAAGAGTGCTTTTTTGGTGCACCTTGGGTGCATATCAATTCTGTTGACTTTCTCACATGAATTGTTCTTTATTTTTTATTTGAAAAAACAAATGCTTATTTAGGTAGTAAAAAAATATTTATTTAGTTATTTTGCTCATATGTAAGTCTATGGTAAGTTTTAGGTCCACCATAAAATTTGTCCATAACAAATTGTTCTTACCTGCGAATTATGTACTCCATCCGTCTAAAAATGAATGTTACAATTCACTATTCAAAAATCATAAAAAATTTGTTTTTTGTATGTGTTTATTGACTATTTGATAAAATAAAATATTTTTGTCATCTCTTATGCTAAAATTTTTTTACGTAACTTTTAAATATGTAAATTTTATTTTTTATTTTGCATAATATGGCAAACATTTTCCCTTTGTTTGGATTAGGTGAGAAAATGAAAAGAAAATTATAGGAAAGAAAATGAAAAGATGAGAAAATGTTAGAGAAAATGGAAAGAAAAGTATTACTGTTTGAATGATGTGAAAGTGATGAGAATATATGCGAAAAAAAGTAAAAAAGAAAAAATGAAGAAAGGAATAGTTATAGTGCCTCGTCCATTTTCTCACCATGAGAGGTGAGAAATTTTTTGAAGTGGGTCTTATTAGTTTTTTTGTTCATTTTCTTATCATTTTTATTCCTATCCAAACACAAGAAAATATATTGAAGGGTGTATTTTCTCACTTCCAATTTCCCTTCCTCTTTTTCTCATTGTCCAAATAAAGACTTTGGGACAAAGAGAGTATATTGCAAGACTTTCTCAACATGTGTACTTGTAAATTCACAACAATACATGAGTTAGTTTTGTGTAATATTGTGTTGTTTGGACTACATATATTGGTTAAAACAACCAAGACTTGTTTGTGTTCAAAAGTTGGTTTAAATGTCCTAAAATCACTATACTTAGATATCAGTTAAGGATTTTCATTTTCAAATCATGTGTTGAACGTATCGACTTATGGTCTAATGATCGGAGATGGTGATTTCCAAAAAATAAACTAAATGGACCAAGATATTACCCGATATCACCTACCACATTTGGCCAAGACATATACCAAATCAAATAGGCCATCAAAACCTTACAATTTTGAAAGAAAATATATATTTCCAATCTAATTCATTTAAAAGTTATATATCGACCAATCTACAAAACAGATTTGATCGTCTCAAGAGTAAAAAGACAATTTAAGACTTAAATCAGGGTTGGGGTGTGTGATTCTAAAATCATCAAAATCACCACAAAAAATGAGAAATACAATCCGTGTTAGGATTGTACTCTCACGACAATCTTGATGGCGTTTAAGAAATTGAAGAAGGATGAACAATACTCAATCTAGATTGTATAGAGAGAACGAATTTAAACAATACACACTAAAAATAACTACACGAAAAATAATAAAAGTACAACTCGTATACGATTAAGGTTGAACCGTGTGATTAATAATACATAACATTATGTTAAATATTACATCAGACTCCACAACATAACAAATCAAACATATTCAAAGCCAAAAACATACACAAAAAGAGGACCATTCTCATCAGTACACATATTACCCTTTTTTACAAGTCGAACACTGCACTTCCAAAGGCCACATAACTACACCATTACCATATACAAGAGTTGCTTTGTTTCACCATTTTGACAACACCCTTTGACACCTTTAGCGTCTAATCCTAAGCAAAAATCGACGGCGACTTATTGGCATTTGGCCCAACAAGTATCTGATCAGCACCTTCGGTTCCTCCAAGATTCTTCACAAATGTCCTCAGGCAACCATTGATTACGCGCGGTGCAGCCCCATCACAGAACCGTTTCGCAAGATCAACCGCCTTTGAGAAGTTTTTCAGGTTTAGAAGAAAACAGTAATAGAAGAATTAGATTGATAGGTCAAAGGCGCAAAGAAAATAACAACAATATTACCCCAATGCCTAGAAGAATTAGATCAATAGGTCAAAGTCCGACTCTTATGTTTAGAACATAGAGCTGCTATTTTTGGATGACCCGTGATGAGCGTTGAAAGTTGCATTGACTAATTGCTACTTCACTATTGAAATAGAAGTACAATCAGTTTAAAGAACCATTTTTGCTTCATTCCATCATACCCAAAGCCAAAAAATAATGCATCTTTGGCTCCATCGGGGAGATGATGAAAGAAAGGCGCAAAGAAAACAAGAAAGAAAAATAATAATGTTTACAATTTGACTCAAATATGTAGCAATTGTGCATATGAAGAGCAGTGCTATAGAAGGCACCATGTGCCAGGGGAGTGGTGAAAGGGTGCCACCTTGGAATAAACTACGACTACAAATGTTTTTTTATACCCAGTACATGATTATTTAATACTACTCCCACTTCGAATGAATTTTACACTTTTCTTATTTGGATGTCTAAAAATCAACTTTACACTTCTCCATTTTCCTTTTTAGGAAATAAGTATGTGGTCATATTTAATTCTCTCTTCCAAATAATCAACCAGATAGTCTTCACTTTTCAAAACTTTTCTTAAACTCCGTAAAGTCAAACTGTAAGGTTCTTTTAAAGATGGATGGAGTTTTTAAGTAGGACCTTGCTATGGTGTCCCCAAGTTTTATCCCGCCTTTTTTCGCGCAGAATTGGATATGCAAACATCAAGACATGGCATGTATGTGAACCCATGTGCAAGCTAACATTCTCCTACATTTGGTGCTTTTTAAATTAGCTATGCCTTATTTTTGGTTGTAGGCCAAGGAGACAAACAGTTGCACCAAGCCAACATGCACAAACAAAATTACCTCATTGATGACTATTTGGTGTCGTGTTCCTAACACCGTTATTTCAGACATTGCCAGATGAAGAATTGAAAATTCCAATATTCTTCCACCTGGTTTGCTCTGTGGAGAAAAATATGATTTAGCAACCACGATATAAAACAACAAAACAGATTTCTACTTGTACACTACATGTGCCTCAGAAAGACTATATATAATGTCCATAAATCACAAAACCATACCATATGTATGCGTACCTTACCTCTACTCCAAATAGTAAGGAGGCATAAAGTGTGGCAACTGGCAAATGATTCATTGGAAAAAGGGTTACGATAGATTTCAGTGATTTGTCTTCTTTGAGAAGTTAATTGTGTGTGACTTAAGGTCTTTGCAATCACTTGAGTTTCACAAGTTTTATTGACTACTTTTTATAATGATAACATATTCACAAAGGGAGAACCATAAAGAGTATAATGATGTTTGCCTCGAGACTCAAACAAACTACTCCCTCTTTCCCTTATCTCCATGGTTAGACTTCCCTTGTACTTTACACAAGAAAAGTTCTTTGGTTTGACTGTGCCCTTGCTTTGGTGGGCAGTGTTGGGAGAGACCAGGAGTTAAATAATGGGGGGGGGGGGTGATCAAATGGAGGGAAAGATATTAGGACAGTTTAGGGAACGAGGGATTATAAAATTGCATGGTGTATTCTTTGTTTCATCCTAAAACTCAAAATGTTGATGATGCTTTGTTATCTATCTCATCTTAAACATGATTTTCTGTTCATCACTAATAATCAACTTAAGTTTAAAAGTTTTAGATCTGCTAATACGATTAATATCAAACTATGCATTAAACTTCCATGCTTCTTACTTTTGCTGAAGTTTTGGGGAGTAAAGGTGGTAATGCATCAAGGCTTTAACAGAAACAATTTCTCTGTTTTTCCACGGGTAAGAAACCTAATAAGTTATAACACATCTATCCTAGTTTAAGAGAGGTCAAATGTTGTCATTGCCCCCTTGTGCCCCGTGTCTTGCATTCAACACACTTTTTTTAGATGTCATATATTACAAACCGTTCATTGTCACATGGCCCCAACATATGCACACAAAGCTCTTCTCAAGCCCGGCAGCATTGCCACCAAGGGTATGACACATTCGAGGACTACTCTATTGGAAAATTCAAGGAGATTACAATCTACTATGGTTCAGCCAAGGCATTCCAAGATCGGCGTCCAAGTGCTTTGTTTGCAGGCAGCCAACCCAAAAAAAAAGAGAAAAGTTGGCTAAGCCCTACGAACAACCAAATGTAGTCACTGTAGTTGTATGACTCGAGACCAACACGCAACACACATCTTAACCCTGAGACCCCAACAGAGTTGAGATTATATTGGGTGTAGTAATTATTAGAATATAGAACACTTTGTCTCGGCCAAAACCACAAGCTTGAGCTTTTGGTTGAGTTGGTTCCTTGACATGGTATCCGAACCTTGTTGACTAAGAGGTCACAGGTTCAAAACTCAGCGCCACCTAATTAAAAAATTAAGGCTCGAAAAGACTATGCCTGCACGTGAGGAGGCGTGTTAGAATATAGAAAACCTTTCCTGGGCCACAACCACAAGCTTGAACTTTTGGTTGACTTGGTTCTTTGACAGTAATTTTTATAAGATGCATGGTACCATACCGATCTCTTCTCCGTCCAATGCAAACTTCTCTTTTACTATTATTTTGTTTGGCTAATGTCTATATGCCACACTAACATCCTTTTCGGTGTGAGTAGAAAAACATTTAAGAACTTTTAAATGGTAATGCCCAAACAGAAGCATACACGAAATAAATATATAAAGACAAAACGAAGCTGATAAGGTGGCACCAAACCTTCCAATTCGGAGGTGCTACTGTTTCAATTACAGGCACATGACAGTCCCATTTCTCTGCAACCGCAACCAGAAATTTTCTTGTGAAGCTGCAATATTGACAAAATGTATATATATGCTATTTGCACATGTTCCTCATGTCTCACGGAAACATTAAACCATGTTATACTGGTCCTGGTGACATGAAAATTAGGGTACCTTAAAATTAGTTTGCTGTAAACTAACTTTGGGGGAGCCGCAAGAACTTCTGCTTCTAAAAAAGAGAGAAGATTGTAATTGTAAAGTCACATTCCAAATAAACAAACATGAATTAGTAAAAGGAGGCAAACTTTAGAAGAACAGAAAAAAAGGATGATAAATGGTTCTAACTCTTAGCCAAAGACCCCAAAGAAGGAAGAAAAAGAAGTAGCACAGTCTTGAGTGTCAGGCTGCAATTTTTTTTTCTAGTTTGATGCAAATGGTTTTAGTGAGAAACTAGTCAGACTACATATTTTATTGCTTCACAGTAACTGGTCATTATATCACATTCCACTATGAGCTAATGTACCCATTCATCAATCGCAAAAGTGTTGAAAGCATATATCAATTTTGTGAGGGAAACTGAATTATTGAAGAGAAGAATTCCACTGTGAAACAATGACTCATGTCCATTTCATGATGAATTTCCATGGATTTATTGTTTTAACTGTTTTACCCACTCCACCTATCTTCCTATGATGCATAGTGTGAAACAGGCAATTATTATTATGTTCCTAAATAAAGGAAGAATCATTAAAAAAAAGTTGTAGAGCTGATAATGTAATTTTCCAAGGAACTATTATTGTTGTTGTTACTAGGAGGTTGTTCCATCCTACAAGGGAAATGCATCATGAATGACAGTCTCTTTAGTTGATAAACGTCCAGTTATGAGTTAGGTTGCTTCCGGTAGTATTTTAGTAATAAAGCTCGAACTTAGTAAAGAAGCTTTCAAACTAAGATACACATTTAAGTCACAGTATTTTCATTGTCTCAACACTTTTAAGCACAATCCTAGGAATATTAAAATATTCCTCTCCCCAACATAGCCTAATTTTACCTGTCTCCATCGTACCAGAGAGAGAGAGAGAGAGTAATTTTAGAATTTCTGCAGGATATATAATAGGTTGGGAATGAATTTAAAATATTTTTAAATTGGCCATTGATGCGCAAACGATTAGTGAGAATTGAGGAACTAGTCAAAATACACAATTAATTTGTTGATTTACAGTAATTGGTCATTATATCACAATCCACTATGAGCTAATGTACCCAATCATCAATTAAAGTGTGGAAAGAATATATCAATTTTGTTTTAACTTTTAACCGTTTTAACTCAATTCATAGATGACTCAATTCCCACAAAACCATGTTTTAACTGTTTTAGGTACTCCTCTCATCTTGCAATGATGCAATGTGTAACATGTGATTTGACAGCATTTTACCATGACATCATTATATTCCCACACAAAAGAAGAACCATAAAAAAGTAGGTGTAGACATGAATAGCTGATAATGTAGTTTTACAAGAATTCCTCTTGCTGTTGTTAGAAGGTTGTTCTATCCTACTGGAAAATGTACTCCGTAATTACGAACGATGGTCCTTGGTAATTGACAGACTTGCTCTCTTGCCCGGTTATGAGTTAGGTTCTAAGAGTTACTATCGTTGAGTGATGGTCTAGGAAAGGTCACGCCATAAGGGTGTAACATACTCAAACCTTACCTTGCACTTTGTAAGAGACTACTTCCCGGACTTTAGCCCGTGACCTCAAGGTAACACTGCAACACCTCAATCGGTGCGCCAAGGTTCTCTTCCTACTATAGAAACCATCTAAAACATTTCCCAACACTATTCTTCATAAGGTACTACATGCAACAATGCAAGATCTCCAAATGATACTCAAATGACCCTATGTGAACTATGCAACAAATGAGAAATTTCAATACAAATACACACAATGCAAAAAAAAACTATAGGATGTAAACTTCTAACTCAAAAAAAACTCACCAGCTTTGGACTCGTTTTCATCAATCAGGACAAGTTGATCCGCTTCCTCCTCGGTATCTGTTGCCACTGGTGGCCCGCCAAAGCTCATATGGTTATAGCTCTTTAACCATTCTTTATCAAAATCATATCCATGCTCTGTACACAAACGCATAAATTTTAATCACACATTGTTCCATAAACCAACAACTCAGTTTCTACCAAGTTTTACCTCTTCTGAGATTCAACCTTCTCTCGAATAGTCGAACAGGGTCGGATCCTTCTAAGCACGAAGCATACAAAGTCATTCTGAGATTGAGTGAAACAAGAATGCACACACATACATATAACAACAAACAAAATTAGTGCTCCCCATAGAGACTTCCAAATTGAGAGTTAGTGTTTTCAATTCAATTTATTCGAAAACTAGTGGAAAATAAAAAATTAAATAAAATTTATAATATTTGATTAGTGATGTTGAACAGAGAGAATTGTAGAATTGGGGAGAGGAAATGGCGTACAGAGCAAGCTCACGAGCCGCCCTGGGGCTGCAAAACCTTCCGCTCTTGTCAATTTTCGGGTGCTGCGTCGAGAAGGTGGGGCCGGATTGTCCAGGAGCTCCGCTGACGGAAATATCGGAACGAAGAGGAATGAGAGAGCTTCGGCGGCCGGCGGCGGTGGATTGGGGCAAAGGGAAGGGCGGAATGGGTTGGCATTTCGGGAAGGAATCGACGATAAACCTCAGTTGGGGTTTTAGGGCGACGGCGGAAGATGGAGGGATTACTACAAGGGAGGAGTGGCCGGAAGCCGCGGCGGAAGAGCAGATTAAGGAAGCTGATGTCGGCATTTGCGCCGCTGCTTCGGCTTGGTACCTGATAGATGATGAAGCTGGAGCAGGGTGGAGGGAACTGAAATAGCTTGTACAGAGTGTTCTCTAATTTTTATCTCTTTTTGGCCTCTAAAATAAGGCAACTTCCCAATATTAACCTACATAGGTATATAAAATAAATATTTTTTACTATTTAAATAAATTTTTATTTTTAAAAGTAAAAAAACTAAACAAAAAAATATGTGAGAAAGTTCATAAAGTTGTCTATCCCCAAAGGTTGTGGATTGACTTGTCTATCCCAGCATCAACCACGTCTTCCTCATCAGCTCGAGCAGCTCATCGACCTCATCTAGCACGCGAGTCGCGTCCCTCAAGTCAAAAATTCACCCGAGGAACGCGATGTATATGTGGATGTTGAGTGGGTGGCCGTCTGCCTAGTGGCAGATGTCCACGGGGGACCCATCCGGGCTACGCCAGGCCAAGGACACGACGGAGTTAACGAGGCTCTTCATCACCTCGGAGTTCTTCCCCATGTCCATGGGCTTGGCCTCGACAGCCCGGATGATCCCCTTGAAGCGGGCATCGTGGGGGTTGGACTTCTCCAAAGGGGTGGACCGGTGGAGGGGTGGAGGAGGAGTCCGGCCTCCAGGATCTTCAGCTGCCGCTTCTGCCATGCATGGTATTCGTTGGCGTCGTTGAATTCGGATGGTTTGAGGTTCCGTGGTCATGGTTTTTGAAAGACATCTAGTGCTCCGTTCACAAAATTAATGGTTCTATGACCTATCAAAAAAATCAGTGGCAGCGGCAATGGCCACCGAACCCCGTGGCCACGGAACCATACCATAACTTTTTCAGTATTTCAAAGTATTGAATGCACTCCCATTAACAAAAGGTGGATAAAAACGGTCATTGTCGATAGATAAATAATCGTGTTCAAACAATCTTTAGAAAATCATAAATTCATAAATTGCTAATAACAAGTTGATTGAAACATAGTATAACGTAATTAACTAATCGCTAATAGCCACGGTTTAAAGGTTTGGTGTTGGTTCAAAGCATTTAGAAAAACTTTATAAAAAGGAGGACAAATACCTAATGCATTAGAAAAACTTAAACTATTACTCTACATACAAAGTTTAAGTAATAAAAGCAAAACATAACAAACAGTCAAATTTAATGGAATCTTATAAGATCAAATATACTCCACAAATTGTAATTCTTTTTAATATTCAGACTTACAAAAATATAAATTAGTTTCAAGTTAACGTGGAAAGTCGAAATTTATTTTAATTTTTAGATTTACCGTACATACACGAAAACTAGTTTTAAATACTTATTCTAATTCTTCCTATTTTTTGGAATGACAAAATTTAAAGAAATGCAAAATAGACTACGCTGCTGGATGATCTGAACCTAAACACCAATATGTTAGTATTATGGAACAAGGAGCATTTGAATTACAAGTATAAACCATTCCAACAAATAATTGATGTGAAAACACAATGATCAAAGTAATTGTTGTTATAATTCAAACAAAAATGATAGATTTAATTTTAATTATAATTCAAAAAATGTAAAAACAACAAGCATTTATACAACTCTAACTATCAAAGAATTCCAACCATGCATACGAAGCATAAAGATTAGATATGTCTTGTAATTACCTTGACGGCGGAGAAGATGAGAGAAGTGGGTTGTATGCTTTGTAATTACGCTAACTGGTGGTGTAAAACCGTGCAAATATTAAGTAAAAATAAGCGAAATGGTTGTAGTTGGAAACACATGTAACCCGGTTTGTTATTAACGATAATGAGACCGTTTACAAAGTACAAGCCGTGTGGATTAATTAGAACATGCCTCACAAATGAGGCTTTTAGTCCTATTTATAATAATGACTAAGCATGTCTCTATTCTTCTGGCCATCCATTTTTCAATCGATCAGTACGCATGCCTTTGTCAGACGAAGCCATGTTCCTGATTCTGAATCTTCTCATACCCGACCATCCAGACTACCCGGGGTGACCAAGTCATGGGGCGTCAGATTTAGGTTCCTCCTGGTCGGTTGCGAACCTACTGGGTGGAATCGATGGGTTATTACCCATTATTAACGATAATTGAAAACGTTGTTCACAAACAAGGCCTTTGTGTTCTCATAGCTTCATTGACTTATAACGAACCGTCATCCCATCGAATGAATGTCCACAAGTGCTCAAAAGAAGATCTTAAAGACAAGAAATGAAAACCAATTAAAATTTTCATGTAATAAGTAATATATGTGTTCTTAGCGAGATCTATTTTTTTATTCTAATTTACCACTCGATGTGTGTTTGTGATTGTCTCAACTTACTAGTATCTGGTGCCACACAAAGGATACGAGATATGCCTAATCTCATATTCTGTCAATTACGTTGAGAGGCTATAATATAGAGTATATGAAATTTCTGCAAGTATCATTTACAAATCAATATCTTACACGAGTACTTCGTGTTAGTTAGATTAAGCTTACAGTTCAAATTTAACTATTTTCAAACAACTCATCGCTGATTCTAGAAATCTTAATAGAGTATGTTACATTGCTCCTTAGAAACCATAAGGGATGAGGCTCATTTTTAAAAGACAACTCTATTGCTAAAAAAAGGTGAACCTCATCTCATGATCATTGACCTTCACATGCAATAGTATAGATAGAGGTAAATTGATTTTTAATCTTAAATTAATCAACAAGCCACGAGGCACGAGATTTGTCTATAGTACACGTAATAGTTTCTTATCACCATTACAAGGCGTGGAATACAACCATTGTTATTGACTAAAAAACGTGTACATTAAGATCCCGTTCTCATTAAATTATTTTTATTACTTGTTTTTATTGGGATCATATAAAAAAAGATTTTAAACTAGTTATAATCTGATCAAATCAGAATTAATGATTCAATGTTTTCAATTAGCATTAATATTTTGGATAAAATTTTAATGGTATAGATTAATTCTGAAAATGCCAACATTAAAGTTTTTTTAAAACGCTAATCTCACGTCAAACGGGGTCAAAGAAAACAAGCCACGAAGGTAGGTGATTGCAAGAGCGGGGCCCTACTATCCTAAAATGGTTATACTCCGATAATGACCGTAACAGTGAAAACTAACCGTCTCTGAATTCTGAAATACAGACTCTTTCAGGTGAGACTGTTCACGGTAAAAAAGTACGGCGAAGTTTTTTTCTATTTATTCCTCTCCGAGCAGTGGCGATTGACTTCTTATCTTCTCCATCTTTCCGTTCTTCAAATCCCATTCCTCTATATAAATCCAGTCATAACTGAACCAGATCATCGTCTTCCTCAGAACCCAAATCTTGCCGGATTCCCATCTGTAGACGAGGGGTTCCAGTTGATGCCGCGAAGAGGGAGGGGTGTGCCGGATGATGCTGCCGATGGTCGATTGCCGGAGTTTGATCGAGTTCTGCCGATCATTCGAGCCGCGCAAGAACAGGAACCGATTCAGTCCCAATTCCCACCGGGTTTCCCGGGGCAATAAGAATCCCTGCTGCCTCAATCGTCTAGCTCGCCCCTTCTGCGGCGATCACTCCCCCATGGCGGCGCTCGATGCGGTTATACTCGTCCTCGTCCTCGGATCTCTAGGGTTTCTGATCGTCCCCTATTTCGCGTCCGTCATCGCCCATCTCTGCCCGGTTCTGCTCGACATCGTCGTCGAGGTCATCAGCGACGCCCCGGTTGCGTATTTCGCCGGACTGGTCGCGACGCTTCTGGGGGTGATTGCCGCGATCGTGGCCTGGGAGATCGTCGATCTGCGGTCCAGGAGGTGCGGGAATCCGAATTGCCAGGGGTTCAGGAAGGCGGTGGAGTTCGATATCCAGCTCGAGTCGGAGGAGTGTCTCAAGTACTTGCCGCCGGAAGTCGCCGCCAACGGGAACGCGTTCTACAATTACGGCGCGAAGCCATTGGAGCTAGGGCAAGATCGGAAGGAGCTTGAGGCGGAGCTCAAGAGAATGGCGCCTCCCAATGGACGGACTGTCCTCATCTTCCGAGCTCCCTGTGGATGCCCAGCAGGTAGATTAGAAGTTTGGGGGAATAAGAAAATTCGTAAGCTTAAGAAATGAATCATCTTTATCATCTTCATCTTCATCGCCATCAATATAATAATAATTATCACTCTGTATCTTGATGATATACCTTCATATATACACTGTATTAGTATATCTTTACATGATGAATAAATACATATACAGAACCTGTCTTCTTGTTCCTTACAACAACTGAAATCCTTCAAGATATATCAATGGATGAACTCAGAATCTCAGATGATATAATACACAATAACTGCTATGAAATTGCCATGCCTGCATTTTCTTACTCATGATATGTTATCAAGATTGAGTAGAAAAAAAGCGATTTGATTGTTTGAGCTTCTTCTTGCTAAGCCATTTTACATTGAACACATTAAAAAGAATACAAAGCGAACATTTATGGCGCGTGTTTTACTTTTTTTAATGTTGTTTTTGTGTGACACTTATCTCAGTGATGATCAAGGTTTGTGCTTTATACTTCTTCGATTGTTCAACCTAATTGCAAATGCTTTTTATCGTCAATGGAATGTTGGATTCGAATTTGCTTCTTATCTTTGAAATAGGCATCATGTGTTTGTCTCAATCGTAGTCGTCAGTTGCATATCGGCTCTCGACTCGTTCGATTGAGACAAACTAAAACTGCCATAAGATTCAAACAGCAAACTTTTGTAACACAATGAAGAATGCAATATAATGGGAAGATTATCTTGGCTTTCTCATTTCACCTTTCCAACTTTTGCTCATTTATTTTAAACTAACTGTGTCATCTTATATATATATATATATATATGTATGTATGTATGTATGTATATATATGTATGTATGAACATACATTACAATTTGGGGCCCAAGACTATCTCAAAAATGGTGTCTTTTGAGTTTTGAGATAAGTTGAATCCTGTCACTGACTCTGGGCATGTGTGGGTTAGTAATGAAAAAAAAGAACACACTATGAATTTAGGTTATTGCAAATGAAAAATGTTTTGTGTTAGTTTTCGGTTGAAATGATTTCTTTTTTAATTTGAAAGGGAATATGTTTCTTAGCAGGGATATGCTAGGGGTACACCAAAGGTGTACTCCAAATGTACACCACCCCTCTCTTTACCATTCATTTTATTTTGTTTTTAATTTTAATTTTTTTTTGAATTTTTCTTGCTTTTTTGTGTGGTGATGGAGGGGGTGGGGGATGTTTGGGGTACACTAAAAGTGTACCCCTAGCATTTTCCTTCTTAGCATCCATTCAAGCCAATTAACTGAGTTACAAGCTAGGTATTCCTGCAGAATAAGCCAGCACTAGTACTGGTTATCAGAGTACCAGACCTTTCCTAAACTTGAATTATTCCCTGTGCTGATGTCCTACACAAATGAGTGAAATGGTGTTAGGTGCTATAACTGATCTGAATCACTTATTCTGAATTCTTTCATCTAAAAGACATCATTGAGATGCTTTTTGTATTTGGTGGTGGTGGTAGTGTGGGTGGGGTGGGGTGTGGTGTGTTATTTATAAAGGACGGGCTCCATCCCCGAGGGCCTCCTCAGATCCGGCCGTACGATTACTGAGAGGAGGTAAATTGGACTTTGATTGCAGCAAAGACTTAGGGACTGGAGCCCGCACTTGATAGTTGCAGAAACCTGTTTAACAGTTGCCACACAGTTGTCAGGAATCAAATTCAGGTCTATCTTTCTGACACTCCTTACTTTTGCCAACTACACAACGCCCACCAAATTCGGGTGTGTGATTTTCAAAATTATGAAAGTCCTATATTGTATTCTTCTTTCAATCTTGTGTGAAAGTGTAAAAATGGGAGAAGTTACACATTCCTGTTGATGCATATTCAGTCTTGTGCTGTGCAGCTCAACTGCTCGGGGAAGGAAGGTCTCCATCTTTCCTGTCCGGCCTTTTTGATGAAAAGGGTTACTGGCCTGGAGAAATGATTGCCTAACAAGTCTTCCCTCTATGTGCTGCTACTACATCTCATGAGTAGACTTTGACATATCTTTTTAGCTTTTGCTTTGTAATAATGATTTGACCTCTTCAAAAACATTCAAGGCTTATTAACTAAAAAAGGATGAGCCCTATCCCGAGGGCTCCTAAAGATTCAACTGGACGGTCACTGAGAAAAGGTAAATTGTACTTTAATTGCATATTGGTGGCAAAAAGTGGAGCTTGCATCTTGTACTTGCAGAGGCCTTATGTTTAGCATAATTGTCTCTCAACGCAGTTGTTAGAAACCAAATCCAGGTCTTACTTCATTGGCACTCCTTGTCTTACTAGCTGCGCAACGCCCGCCGACTGTCATGGCTTATTAAGTGAAGGGCTTGATGGAGGATAAATGAATATTGGGTGGAGTCATACAAATATGTGTGTCAAGGGGGAGTGATGGAGTGTGAATTATTTTGATTGGTTAATTTGGTTTGGAGAAGAAATGCCAACTTTGGTGAAAAGGGGAGTGGTGCGCAACTTTCGGTATAAATAAATGGAACACTATCACAATCATGTGATCTTATTATGACAATGTGGCTTTCATGATGCCAACTATATGAATGAAGTACATGTAGAGCTACTTGGGTAGTCCGGGTAAAGTAATTAAAACACTAAATTCCTAAAATAGTCTTTTGTAATAAAATGTTTTTCTGAGTCAGTCATCAATAAATTTTAATTATCTATTTGATCTTCTATAAATGAGATTTATTCTCAAAATAGTTCTTCGTAAATAGTGTTATTCAAATGAGGATTAATTGAGGGTATTTTGGTATTTTGTATCCGCAAAATTTAGAATTAATTCTTAAAATGATCATTTATAATGAAGTGCATTCCCGAAATGGTTTTTTTAATTAAAGATGTGTATTTGATTTGAAATTTAAAATATTTTATATAAGTTTACTCCCTCCGTCCCATTTTATAACGCATGTTTTGGTTTACAATGTTTGATTGAAAATATTTTCAAATCATTTTATATGACAAATGGTATAGAATTAAAAAATTACATATTAAAATACTACATCAAAAGATCTACAAAACTAATAGTGACAATAGTATTTTATTTTATCAAATTGCTAACGAAAATAGATAAAAAAAAGTGAATGAAATTTGACCGTGTGAATAGTGAACATGCATTATAATTTGGGACGGAGGGAGTAAATAATTCATGAACTATTTATAGTCAATGCGTTTTTTAAAATACAAAAATATCTCCAATTAATCATTATTTGAGTAACATTATTTGCGAAGGACTATCTTGTGAATAAATCTCAATTAGAAAAATAAATTATTACAAAGGACAATTTTGGAAATTTACTCTAATTAAAATGCATTTTTTTAATTCAGGAATCGGTACTTGTATTATCCTATTTTTGACATTTTATGACCTATCTTTCCAAAGATTGCGTAGTTATTTTACGAAGTAATAGTTATCAAGGTCTTTTAGCATTGATTTTCAATGTCATACTCGGTGTTATGATATTAGGTATTTACAGTGTTTCATTGGATTCTAAAATATTTCCTACCCTCGAAATAAAAATAGAGTAAAACGTAAAATAAAAATTATTTTATTCCTCTCAAAATTATCTTCATATATGTGATTGATGTGATTTTTAATCGTAAAACATAATTTTATTTTTTTAATAGAAGTTTTTTTTAATTCAAGTATTAAAGTAGAAAAATAATTTTAAAACACAAACTTATGTTTTGGTGGATTTGTTTGTTTGTGGATAGAAAGGTCAACCAATTTTTAAGAAACAATTAAAAAAAGCAATTAAATGGGATCCATATTGACCCACATAAATCAAGGCCCAACAGCCCAAGTCATGCAATTGCTTATTGGGTTCGGGCTTGTTTGAAAATGAGATTAGCGTTAATGTTTTAAAAAGACGATCTACAATTCTACGAATAATGTTTAACATTAACATTTTTAAAATCATTGCATGGTTAATATTTTGAGCAATGCTAGGGGTACACCAAAAATGTACTCCATTTGTCCCACACTCCCTTCTTCATCACTCATTTTTATCTACTTTTTAATTATTTATTTTTTTTTAAATTTTTGCCCATTTTTGTGGTAATGAAGGGGGTGGGAGACAAATTGGATACACCTTCCTAGCATTTTTCTAATACTTTATTCAAATTGTTAAAATTTTAATGTTAGTTCTAACTTCTAAGTGCCCTGTGTTTTCAAACGGGCCCTTCGAAAATGTCAATTTGGTCAAACGTATATAAATTCTTCTTTCCACTTCTGGGTTGTTCGTTTCCCTCCGGCGATCATCTCCGGTAGCGTTGCCGGCGACTTCCATACCTCCTCATCCTCTTTTAATTCGCATGCTTGTTCAGCTCAATTCGGAGCAGTATTGATTGCTACAATCAAAATCGGAACATTCCAATTTCGATGATAATTTAGATCCCCGAGAACTGTTGATTTTCATCAATTCGATTAATCTGTGTAGGGAAGATGCTGCTACGAGTTCCGCTCTTCATCTTCTTGTCGTTGCATTGCATTTCGTTGATCGACGGATCGGCGGCATCTCTTCCTCCCGTAGATCTTCTCGGAATCTCTCCTCAAGGTCCGCTTCTTTCATTCCATCTCCGTCGATTTATTTGTATGCCTAGCCGAGTTCATCTTGTCTGCGTTTATTTCCAGATGAGAAGTATTACAGTGGATTGTCGTCCGGAGCCGCCATAAAATGCAAAAACGGATCTAAAACATTCACTGGGGCTCAGCTCAATGACGATTTCTGCGACTGTCTGGATGGCTCCGACGAGCCAGGTCTTCTTCCTCCCAATCTTTCTTTGTAATTTGTGTATGAGTGTCATTGCAGCCGTTTGAGTTGTTGCATTTGGTTTATGACAGTTTGTTTGTGTAGAAGTGATAATCATGAAATGTATGCTTGTGGTGTGATAACTTTGACTGATAGTGGAGACTGGTTTTGCAGGAACCTCAGCATGCCCCAATGGCAAGTTTTATTGCCGGAATGCTGGGCATACACCTCTTCTTATATATTCTTCTAGGGTTAATGATGGCATCTGTGGTATGAAGCCTTACATTTTTCCAATGTGTTTTATTAAAGCTTCTGTTGAATGAATGAAATGCCTAACTGTGATATCTCTTGAATTACCAGTCATTTACTTATATTCCGTGTGTGCAACTATGCACACACACACACTCTCTCTCTCTCACTATTATTTGTCAGTGACTTATACAAGTGTTTTTCCTTCAAGTATCAGAATTGCTCTCAACATGTACTTGCAGACAGTACTCCAAGCTTAGATTGGCTAATGATTAAAAATGATGAATTTAAAAACATAACCAACAAACTTTCCATCCATTTATGGGCTAGAAAGTGTGAAAATTGGTTTGTGCATGAGAACTTGAGAAGGAACCCCCTCAATGGGTGATGCACGAATATATTTCATAATTTTTTGACAATAAGTAAATAGAATGGGGTGCAGTTGATGGATGAAAGGAGTGATATGATTCAAATCCAATGTATCTCACCTTAAACCGCAAGTCATTATCATCGCTTACCATTTCATGATTTCATCACACTTAAGTCATTTTTTTTGCATTGCATTACTACTACAAATCTGTGGTTATGGTTAACTCTGCTAAATTATTCATTTGGAGTAGTTCGCTTGTGGGTAACTATTAGTCTTTTAACTTCCTTTGGCCATATCAATTATCAAACTAATAAGAGTAGCTGATCCAAAATAGCCATATTACAAAGACTCCCAAGATCTCTAATAATAACTCTCTCCATCCCATAAAAAGGTTCCACATTACTATTTATATGCTCAAACTATATCTTTTTCATCACATATTTTTGTCGATCATTTGACAAAATGAAATAGTCATGTCACCTTTTTTTGTATAAGACATTTGATGTAGTTTTTAAATATGTACTCTTTTTAAAAAATCTAACATCAATTTTCATATATATTGAATAGAAAATAAATTTTCTCAAATACTTTAAACAAGGAAAAAATCATTTCTCAATTGTTTTTTACTCCCTCCATTCCTAAAGGGATTGCATGGAAGCCAAACCGAGGCATAATCTCAAGCTTTTTATTTTCATTATATTAAAAAATAGGTATAGAAATAAAAAAAAATAAAACTTGCATATTTAGAAACTACATAAAAAAATTTACAAAACAATAGGTGACAAGAATGTTTTATTTTATCAAATAATCAATAAAAACACAAATAAACAATAGTTACCATGATTTTGGATTAGTGTAGATGCAATCCATTATATTTTTGAATAAAGATGTAGTGTTATAGCCCATGTTTAGAGATGCGAGAGGATTACAGTGGTGGGCGAGAGTGGTAGAAGGAGTAGACCTTGGAAGATTTGGAAGGAGGTAATCAGACAAGATATTAGATTTCTTGCCCTTACCGAGGATATAACCTTAGATATGAGCGTAGCTAGGACCAAGGTAGTTGGGTAGTCGAGTTGGTCTTACGTGATTGTAGTTGTTGTTGTCATTGTGTGTTTTCTATGCTTAAGGTATTATTGCTTGCGACGATGTGTGTATTTTTTACTCTTACACTTATTAAAAATATCTTAGTTGCTCTTTATTTCTTGTTGTGCTATATGTCTTCTGTGTTGCTTACTCCAGGGGTCTCTTAGATGGAGCCTCTCTACTTTTCAAGTAGGGGTATGGTCAGTGTACACGCCTTCCTCAGACCTTACTATTGTGGGATTCTACTAGGTTGTTGTTGATGATGTATACAACAACTATAGTCAACTAACAATTTTGTTATTGGCGGAAATTTTATTCAAATACACTTGTATTATCCTTTGGTTAGCACCAAGCAGTTGCAAAAAAACTTGTGTCATGATAACTGAATACTGTGGTGATACTCATACCCTAACTATTGAAGTAATGAATCTCAACAGAGCTTGGTGAAGGAAATTAAAACTCAAATTTCAGGGCTGACACTTGTTATGAACTTAAACTAAATGACATTCATGAGCAGATTGTTGTGATGGGAGTGATGAGTATGGTGGCAAAGTGAAGTGCCCAAATATGTGTTGGGAGGCTGGCAAGGAAGCTAGAGATAAGTTAAAGAAAAGAATTGCAATATACCAGGAAGGTGTTACTATAAGGAAATCAGAAGTTGAAAAGGCAAAACTAGCAATCTTCAACGAGGAAGCAGAACTAGTGAAGCTAACACAAGAGGAGAAGATACTTAAAGAAATAGTTGAACAATTGAAAGGTAAAGATCTTTATTTTTATTTTGAGCCGTTTTTCTTCTTGAAATGAAATACACATGAAAAACTGCTTGCAAAGGTAAATAAAGATCATGGATTATCCTTGTATTAGATTTGGTGTGCTTGGGAAGTGGGCCACATGACATTGCTGTCTTTTGTCACTGTAGAATCAATTTTTTGCACTGAAAATATAAACTAAACTAAGTTGTAGTTTAATGATGATTCTAAAGAGTAACAAGATTTTGATAAATGAAACTAGGAAAATGCCAAAGAGAATTATGTTGAAGTTAAAAGGTTAGTTTGGCTGCAAAAAGCTATTGATATTTTTTTCATTGCCTCACAATGTTACATACAAAAACTAAGTGAATCTTATTATTTAGCTACCGTATTATATTGCTTATGAATTTTGTGACCATTATTATAGTGAATCTTAGGGCATTGATTTTTTTTTATTTTTATGGAAATTTTGCCCCAAACTCATGTTAAAATTTGTTACATCGTTGGTATTTTCCAAAGGATGTGCAAATTTTGATAAATATACTATCTCAAAATAACAAAATCAAATCAAGGTTCCATTTTGGATAAGGTAAAAATCAGACGGAAATGGTTTATCTTTTTATATAGAAGATAAATTCTTCATATCTTTGTCAACAACAAAACCCAATATAATCTCAGAGAGGCTGTTTTCGTTTGAACCTTGACGCATTGCTCATTTGCCCACCTAAAACTTCATAGAAAGTAAGAAGCAAAGGAAGTTTAATGTGTTATTTTGATTTAGTCCATTATTTTAACTTTTTGATTAGTTGAGTATTTTGAAATGAAGTGTTCACTAACAAAACCTTGGAGCAGAGAGGCTTCTGCTTATACGGAGTATTTTTAATTAAATTAATGATTGTGTTCATGATAATGGCTTTATTTAATCTTATTTTGTTATAATTGAGCTACGGAAAGTATTGTCTCACCCTCCTACCCTACTTCCAAGTGGGACTTACTAAGTTTATTTGACCTGGTTTTTAGATTAACTACTGTCTTTTTTTATTCTAAAGTATGTAATGGTTTTTTTTCAATCTTTTAGTAATCAATACATGAGCACTATATAGTACACTACTCCAACTATATACCATCGTTTGGTGTCCAGTGAGGTCAGTTCTTCCTACCTGCACCAGACGATTTACAGTTTCCATTGACTTTAATTTGCTTCTTTTCATCAAGAGCACAAGGAACAGATAGAAAAGGCTGAGGAAAAAGAAAGATTACAAAAAGAAAAAGAAGAGAAGGAAAAGAAAGAAGCCGAAGAAGCTAAGTCGAAAGATACCAAAACTGAGGAGAACTACCATGAAGATTCTGTAAACATGGAAAATGGCATCCATGATGAAATTTCATCAGAGAAAGCTTCTCCTATAGAGGTTTCATTTGCTTGTTATTTGAGCATCCTTTGTTCCGATATTGTGGTCTCACTTTCTCTTTAAGGATATCCATCAAGTCATTAACTTTCTCCCACAAAGACTCAAAAGTTTGAATTACACATATTTCCAAATCTACCCGCTGTTTTAAGCCTCCGTTTGGTTGTGTATAGAAAATGGTGTGAAAAGAAAATATAAAGAGAGAAAATATGGAAAACAATGCTTATTCACTTGTTTGGATGAGAAAGAAAAGGGAGGGAGATGAGAAAATGGAAAAGGGAAAAGTTTTTTCTCCATGTATGAGAAGAAAACGTATGGAAGAGTATCCCCTCTATTTTCTATTCAAAATTTTCCTTTTTCACTTTTTCTTTCCATTTTCTCTTTATTTACTAATTACTATCCATCCAAACAATACTAATTTTCTTTCTATTTTCTCTCCATTTTCTCTTCTCTTCATTTTCTTTCTTCTTGTTCTCTCTCCTCACCCAAACAAAGCATAAAAGTTCCAACACAGTAGTGTGGCTTTTATTCGTCCACCCAAAGGACATGTCACTTACAAAACATTACTTCTACTTTCTATTAGAATGTGGTAGAAGATCATAACAGTAAAGTGGACAAAACTGAGAGTAGTGACATTCCAACTATGGATGAAACCCATGGTGATGAAGCAGGCAGGGTGGGTGATGACTCCCTCAAGGTGTGTGTGTTTTGTGTTTTATTAACCCTTCTTGAAGGGTAACATGATTATCATCAGTTCATTAGCTCATTAAACGTTAGAATTAATCCCTGAACTTGATTTTCATTCTGTATAGCATACTCTGGTAGAAGAGGAGATGCTGTCTGCAAATGATGATGGATCTGATCCTAAAAGCAGCAGTGAGGTAGATGGCTAAATGGACTTCACTTTTTTGTACTAGAACTTGCACCAATTTTCATGTTGCTTCAGATTGTGGGCATACTCAAAAGAAGTGTGGTGTGGTGGTGGGGGTTGCATATCTATCAAATTATTTCATGCTATATCTTATTTATCTATTTACTTGCTCTTGAACCAGTTTTGGCATCTTGATGCAAGTTGTATGTAGAGATGCCTGTTGTTTTATACTTCCTCCATCCCACTCCTTCCTTTCAGGACATGAAATAATGGCATAGGAATTAAGAAAAGTAGAATTGTGTGGTTGATAGTTATGTTTCAAAATAAGAAAATGTAAGAATGAATGTGAGCCACACAAATATTACCAAATATAGTACGAGACATAGATTGTGGGATGGATAGAAACGGTTAAGAGGGAAAAAATGGTGGGACGGAGAGAGTAGTTCATATCTTCCTAGTATCGTATTTTCCCCATTTTTTGAATAACTTTTATACGCATCTTGACATTTCTAGGTAAAAGATGCAACTGAGGACACTGAATCCTTGTCAAAGGAAGAGTTGGGCCGTGTAGTTGGTTCTCGTTGGACTGGAAAAAAGAACGAGAAGGAATCCAGTGAGGCAGATGCCAATAAAGATTATCATGGCGACCATGGTGAAGAATACAATACGTATGACTCAGATGATGATGATTCTGAAGACCAAATGGACGAGTTTGGCGGGGAAGATAACAGTGATTCACATTTATTATCTGATGATGATGATACTAAAGATCAAGGGGATGATTTTGTGGGAGAAGATCATGATTCAAGTCCACCATATTCATCACCATCGTCATCTTCATATGATGATGATGATGAATTGGATTTATCAGGTGCCTAAGACAATGCTTCTATTGTCACTACAGCCTCTATTATTTGCTTTGCATGCAGCATTCTAATTGAAAACAAATTTTCCCAGATATAACTAGCTCAAGGAATCCACATTGGTTGGAGAAGATAAAAAGAAATGCTCAGAGAATTTTTCAGACTTTCAATTTGTTCCGAACTCCAGTAGACATATCTGGTAGCATATGGGGATGAATGCACTTTGCTTCTCTTTAAAGAGAGTCTATAGGTTCTCATGTTTTAAACATCACTTCTGCAGAGGCTGCCCGTGTACGCAAAGAATATGATGATTCAAGTGCCAAGTTATCAAAGGTTCAATCGAGGATATCTAAATTGACAAAAAAGCTGAAACATGATTTTGGTAGGTTTTAAGAGTTTTATGTAGAGACTAAGCACTACTTTTCAATGTTTTTCTTTCCACTAAATATCATATG